TCCCGAAGGGAGTAATCCCAAGGGATTAATAAAGTCAAGTCTAAGTCTAAATCTTAAAAAAAACTTTAACAACATATAAAAAAATATATTTAATGACTTAAATATAATAGTTTTTACATTCTCTTCATGAAACTGCTTGTCTGATCTCATCATCAGAAATATTACACGGTTTATATCTGCATTTTAGACCTTTCTTTAGATTATGCACTATATACTGTAGGTTTAAATCGAAAGGAAAAAAATACAATTAAAAAAGTCTTATGTATAAATCCAAAGCTGAGCGCAAATTAATTCCCGGAAGTAGCGTTGGATTCCATTTCCATCTCTGTAAATTAGGAATGATGATTTCTTATCTGTTCTTTTTCAGACTGGTCAGGTGTTGAGCTGAGGCTTAACTCTAAGGAGACTGGTCAGATGCTCATCAGCACTGAGATCAAGTTTTACAACTGTAGTGTCCATCAGCTGTAAGTATTACCCTCCATTTCATTTCCTTTGCTAAAACAAACTTGGCACTGAAAAGCACTAAATCTCTGGAGTCTTGTTTCAGTTTTGTCTTCATCTCGTCCTGCCAATCCTCTAAAAATATCCTCTGTAAAACTATCGTCCCATCTCTTTCCACTCTCTGTGCCCCACTGTTTCTTTATTGTTGTGCTAATGAAGCTTTCTTTCTTAAAACAAGGTGATGTACAATACCCAAAGCTCTTGGTGTATTGGGCCCTCATAAGAGAAGTTTATGCCCATTTTCATGCTGTGTCCATTCCTGATTGATTGATGTTGTGTTGAATCCCTGGTTTGGAGATCTCAGTGTCGGCGCTGCCTTTGCAATTGTTTGCTTTGTTCCACTGAGGCAGACTCTGTTTGTGCAAGATCCAAAGGCCTCTCTGACTCTGTAAAAGGGAAAGATGAGGCAGTGGAGTAAGGCTGGCGTGGCAGTCCTGCAGAAATGATAGCATGTCATATTATCCCTTGACTACCCCTTTGACATTAAAACAAAATGTTTTAGCCACTGGGCATTGTTACTCTGAGTCCCTCTCTTCTTCCATCTCTTCTTGTGCAGCCTGAAAACCCTATCAGGGTGGCACAGAATTGAATTACCAGCTCTCTAGCATCAGCTCGGTTAACTGGGAATGACAACCACACTCTTACACACAGTTACACACACCCAGAAGCTCATGAATACACTTGCATAGACTCTTCTTTGCATGCTTTAATGCCTTAAGTCCTGCTCAGCCTTTTGCCCTTTTTTCACACGTTCAGCCCTCAGTTTGCCTAAAGGTGAAAAGACCACCTTCTTCCATTTTATCCTTGTTATTGCCAGAAGTTCTTGCAATGCGTTTGACTCTGACACTAAAACTTGCTTGTTAAATAACTGTTAAAAAAATATGGGCTGTGGCAAATACATTCACAATCCATAAAAAATTACGCTTTTTTGCTGTTGAAACATTTAATGATTCTTTTTACTTTCTAATATTAGTACATGTGAACCACAGTAATGAAAGTATAGCTCATTCCCGGTTGCTTACATCAAGCAGGATTTTGAGTAACTGGATTTTTTCAAAATAAATGCAGGTGTGATAAATGTTTGTAAATGACCAAAACAGTAAATGCTTTGTATTTGTACAACATTGCTATCTAGACCCAAATCAAATACTCTGGATTAGTTCAGTAGTGCCATGATTTTGCACTTCTTGGTTCTGTTTGTTTTCATTTTGAGTTTTCAGTCACACTTTGTTTTATGTCATTCTCTGTTTTCTGTTTTCTTTTTCTTCTATTTTGTGTCATTCTAGTGGTTTTCTGGTTGTATTTGAAGTCTTATGTATTTCTTGTTTACTCTCTGTTTCCCCCTTGTCCCAGACTACTTTTCCCTAGCTCCCTTCTAGATCCTTCTGTCCACACCTGCTCCCAATCAGTTGATTACTCCATTCTAATGTTCTGTTTGGCATTTATACTTCTCCTCTGGATGCTAGATTCTCTTCATTCCTTCATTCTCTCATTGATCTATGTGTTCCCCTTTGTTCTGGTTTCTGTGTTCCTCAATCAGTTATTTTTTCATTTATGCTTTTTTTTTTTGCCTCTACTACTTTTTAAATCTGCAAGAAACCCCCTCAGCTTCCGGCTCTGCATTTGGGTCCTCTAAAAGCCTCCACACAACGTGACAGGGACATCCCTAACTGATATACAGAAAATATTTTGGCTAATTTTCTATCAAACCAGAAATGTTATCTGACAGCTAGGACTAAAACAAAAAAAGATCCTGTATCCAGATGGTGATCTGGATCATCACTGAAATGTAATAATATGTAGCCAGTCCCAATGCACACCTTCTCTTAAATTTTCAGCAAAATCCATTGATAAATTTTTCAGGTATTAACAGATAGATAAACCACGGGCAATAAAAGAAAAAAAAAAAACTCCTTGGTAAATATGACAGAAACACAAATTGAATTGCCTTTAACCTCCAAGAAACACTGCGTTACTCAAATACCCCCCCTGCGGAAATGTTATAATAAATTTAACCAACTTCAGCTAAATCAGGTTCGCTTCATGTGCTTACACAATAACCAGTGTTCCGCCTGCAGTTATGTTCTCAATTTAAAAGCCTTGCTTGAAGTTGTCTGTTCTGTTCTGTTCCATTCTTATACACATTGTCTCTTCTTCGCATCCTCCTCCCCTGAGTATTCTTGAATATCAGTAATGATAAGTTTTGTTTAAAGTTTATTGCATTCCCAGATGTTCACTGAAGTGGATTTGTATAAAGAATTTGATTTTCTGTTACAATCCTCCAAGCAACCTTACAAACCCAACAGCCACACAGGGATCTGAACAACCAGCTGCAGTTCTTGGGCCATAAATTCCAAAGCTTTCTCTCAGATTTACCAAATTGTTTTTCATCTGAATTTTATATTAACTATGTTTAGGAATAATTTGCCAAAAAAAACGTAGCTCAGGATCTGAACCCTGCTTTGAGTCCTAGCAATATGTCCCACAGTGATGATATTAAGTGTTAAAGTGCCAATATTTATACTATAATAGGTATTTATAAATGTAATAATGTATTTCAAGCTGTAACACACAGATTAACCAAACTGTTGGATTTCAGTCGTAATTATACAGATATTTCAAATATTTATGACGCAGATTATTAAATAAATCAGCTAGTCATTAATTTACAAACTGAATCCATTACATAATAAAAACCTTTTTAAATATTTAAGTAGACTATGTTTGTAGTGCTTAATGACATTATACTGTTAGCCCCGCCATTTAAAGTCAGTCAGCAGGGCTAACGGTGGGTTTGAACAATTTAAGCTATAAACTACTGTGCAGCTAAAATGTTGAGCTCTATTTGGGATGCCATAGTGGCAGTTAAAGGTTGTTTATATGGTAATAGATAATTTTAAAATGATCATAGATTAATTTAGTATGTAATCTGAACTAGTTGCCTTTATTCCATGTCCTGATTATTCAATGGTTGAATCTGATGGTTAATTATTTTCTTGTTTCTTTAATACGTTTTAAGACGTTAGGTGTGTTTAGTTCCTTACAGATATTCATAGCTCTGAAGCCTTAAAAAAATAAATGCTCACTAAAAGAGCTGTTTGTTTTTACTCAAAAACATTTTTATCTACTTGGGTATTTGTTCTCTAAAGAAGCAAAACTTGTAGCTGTAATAAAAAAAACAAAAAAAAAACAAAAACTTAAGCAATCAAAATATAAATACAAGCAAAAAAGGTGAATGTTTCTTATTCAGTCAGTTTTATTTAGATAATTAAAGGTATAGTGAATGCTTTTTCCAGAAATGTTGCTAAGAAACACCCAAATCCCGTTTTTAATAAAGGTGGTGCAACACTGTTTCTACCTGCTCTTCTTCTTCTCTAAAACTTGTCAGCCAATCATTTTGACATTTTGAAAGTACAGTATACAATAAGATCAGTGGAGCTGCGATGAATGGTTGAAACTATAGCTTACTGGAAACAGACATATTAGAAGTGTGCAGGCGCAAGACAAAACCTGCACATTACAGTGATAAAGGGTGTGGGAATACCAATAGATAAGATGATCTCCCCAGAACTCAAAGATTTAGATACAGAATTTATAATCAAGTTTCTTAGTTTTTTTATTCACTAGTTTATTTGGTGGATTTATTTCCTTGGTCTTTAAAGTTCTAACATATTTAAATTTTACTTAAATTCTTTGACTTGTTGATTTCTTCCACAGCTGACCTTCAATATGATCCAAACAGACTCAGAAATACTCGTCCCCATGCTATAGCATAACTAGTGGAACAATGCAGGGCTAATGGTAATTGCAGGATCAAGCTGATCCAACGTTTTGTTTGTCGTCATTAGTTGAAGTTTTTTCCTCCATCTCAGCTGCTCCCCTTCTGATTGTGGTTATGAGGATTAATATTAAGTCTGGTGTTGATGGATGAATGTATGGCAGCACTAAATATATGCAGGCATATCTGGGTCCTGCAGCGATTGAGATGCTGTGCCAGGCAAAAAGGGAGCATAAACAGCATGCTCCTACTTGGGACATGAACTCATTTCCTTTGTGGCACTTCCCCCATTTTGGCAAACTCCCTGTCCCTTCTTGACTGTGAACTCACCATTTGTCCATGTCTGTGTTTTTTTTTCTTCACTTAGGTGTCTGTCATGTGTGAACAGTGCCTTCCGCTGCCACTGGTGCAAATACCGCAACCTGTGTACCCATGACCCGTCCAGCTGCTCCTTCCAAGAGGGGCGAGTCAACACCTCTGAGGTTGGTGCAAAACTCGCACACAAAAGAGGATCAATTCTGCTTTTTTTGTGTTGTCTCCACACACAGAGCTTGTCTCAGTTTCCTTCTGATGCATCCCTCTCTGTGTTTCAGCTCTCTGTCAGCCTCCGGGCATGTCTTCAGAAAGACAGCCATTGGAGCTCCTCTATTTTTCTAAAATGCTGCCTCTCATTCAGAGCTCTTGTTCTCTGCAACAGCAATTAACAGTCCATTATCCCCAGAGCGACTGAGCTTAACAAGTCTTAACAATGTCACTCTGACCATGTCAGTCTTGTGAGAAGGAAGCAGCTTGAAACTTCCCCAGCTCTGGCTCTAAAGGGTTTGATTGTAGTGGTGCTACTTTAAACTAAAACAATGACACTCCACTTCTGCTCCAATCCTTGCTCTTTATCTATTTAGTTCTTCTTATTCATGATGACCACATGACTGTTATCTCCCTCTGTCCTTGCTGGTGACCTTCACACCAAAATGCAATTTCCTCTTTGTCTTTTGCTGACACTCTTCTGCTCTCTGCCCCCTCCAGGACTGTCCCCAGCTGGTTCCCTCTGAGGAGATTCTGATCCCAGCAGGAGAGGTGAAGCCAATCACCCTAAAGGCCAAGAACCTGCCACAGCCTCAGTCTGGCCAGAGAGGCTATGAATGTGTCCTCCACATCCAGGGGGTCAGCCAGCGAGTTACTGCCCTCCGCTTCAACAGCTCCAGCGTTCAGTGCCAGAATAGCTCGGTAGGCTGAGAAACATTTGCTTAGGCTCTGCTAAGTTTAGCCAGTTGTCTTGGCTTTTAGACAATTGAAAATTGAAAGTATTTGTATGTAGATTGTCCATTGATTGTGAAATTTCCGAATCCATTTGTGTTGCAAACCTGTTTGCCTTTTTCTTTGAATGCTCAGATAAAAGACGATCTCCTAAAATAGTCCAATGAAACAAATAGGGTTTCAATGTGTTGCTGTAATTTGCTGACAATTAAACAATTGGCTAAGTATACTAATAGGGGCAGCGAACACACATTATGTAGATTTATAAAGCAGACAAAGCAAATGGTTTTGTGTCCTCATAGACCAGAGCTGTTTGTTTCACACAGATTGCATGTAAAAGAGGGTGAAAATTCCCTTATATTAAAAGTACACATGTTTTTTATTTATTATTACTAATTTGTTCACTTCAGTATGTTTATGCACATATTATCTCATACATACATTTTAGCCTCTTTTTACATTTTTGAAATTAATGAGTTTAACTGACGCATCACTCCACTGTCCTGTGAAATCCGTAGATGTCATTATAGTTCATTTAGTGTTTCATTTAGGTGTATTTAGGTGTTTAGTATCTACAGAAAAAAAAAATCAACATTTGAACATTAATTTATATGACTTGTTCAAAGTTGGATTGTTGGTTACATAATAAAAGCAACAGCATACCAAATTTAGAATACAAACTGCTAATTTCTTGATAGAGCAAATAAAGCCTAAGTGCAGCTTTCCTTTTTTTAACCAGAAAAACGATGAAGGCCAAAGAGATCAGATATGAAGGTCTGGTCTTCCTTAAAGATTAATGCACTCAACAGATATTCAAGGCTGTAAGAACAGACCGGCTTAGGGAGGAGTTATGCTCCAATGCAATTACATCAGTGTCAGTGTTTTTTTTGTAATGCAGTGGCATTGGATTTTTCTACTTTTACAAACAAAATTGTATCTTTAGTTTAACCTACACGCCATAAGCAGCTCAAACTTTAAAGTCTGTGACTGGTTTGGTGGATGTTTGTAAAGATCCGAAATGCAGAGACAGAAGCAGAGACGGGTTCTTGTAGGTTAAATGACGACGTTAGTTACAACAGAAGCATAAGTCCAGACTGAACAGGAAGGAAACATAGACCCCAATGTGGGGGGACTTTTGGTGTGCATATATATAGAGATTTTGAGAATCTCGCTCTGAGAGGCTCTACAGGGGTGGTGTATATCTGGGGTTGGGGCATTAATTGGGTTATTCGGTTGTTGGGGGGCGGTTTTGGCCGGAGGGACCCGGAAGGGGGTTAGGGGGAAGGGATTGGGCCCTTGGGGGGAAAACCAGGGAAAACAACAGGATCTAACTGTAGCTAGGGAAAAAAATGTATTACTGATTACTACAACTAAAGCTAGACCAGGATATAAATAATACCAAAAATGCTGAAAAGATATAACTGAAAGAAATAACAAGGGAGAGTAACCTTAAGAATTCAAAAATTATATAAATCTTGACAAACACAGAATAACATAAATAAAGCATAACTGAAAACCCAAAAAGAAAACTGTAACAAATGTTAGGGACCTTTAAATGCTTCAAACCTGATTTTTATTTCTATTTTAGGACCTTTCTTTAAATTCTCAAGTTTTTTTTTACTTAATCACCTTTATTGTTTATGACCACACCAGAGAATTTAGCTGAATGTTGCAATAGTCTAAAATCATTGTTTGAGAAGGTAAATTAATGTTGCTGGTTGGTTTAATCGCTGGCAACTTCGCCCAACTATTACCACTGTATAGGCAAGAATACCTTGCATTACTTCCTGTAAGTCTAGCTGCATAAGGCATGTGCTTGTGTTTCTGTGACTGCTTATTCAAAGCAGACATGGTAGACGCAGCTGAGGTAATTACAAACGAGAGAACCAAAGAAGTTCAATGTTTCCAACTGACCCATTTTTTTTTTTTTGGGTGGTTCCTGTGTGTTAGCTCAGCGATTGAGATGATGTAAGTTTGCTGTAACATAGGAAGGACGTTTTGCTGCTACTGCTATACAAGAACCCACAGGGATTCCAATCCCCAGACCTCCCATTGAAATCTTCCCTCCTTTTTTTGTCTCGCTTCCATTGTGATCTTCACTTCCGTCTCTTTCTTTTTCTGCTTCGCTGCCTCTGGCCTCCAGTATCTCTACGAGGGGATGAGGATCAGTGAGCTGCCTGTGGATTTTTCAGTGGTGTGGAATGGCAACTTTATTATTGACAACCCAGAGAATATACAAGGTAAGAACAGTGTGTGTTTTAGAATAGGTAGAAATAAGCAAATGAATCTCCTTCAACTCTTTTTATGAGTTCTCTTTTTTAAAACAATTTCCATTACAGAAGAGGTAATCTTACAGCATGCAAGATGTCAGCTTTGCTTAAAGTAACAAATTAAAAACACTCAACTGTTTCATATTTACTGTGTTTCTTTCTTTATCCCCCAGTGCATCTGTACAAGTGTGCAGCCCAGAGAGACAGCTGTGGCATGTGCCTGAAGGCAGACAGGAAGTTCCAGTGTGGCTGGTGCAGCGGAGAGGGAAGGTGCACGCTGCGACATCACTGCCCTCTCATCAACCCTTACACCACTCGCTGGCTCAACCTGTCCACCAAGAACGTGAAGTGTACCAACCCACGCATCACTGAGGTTTGCACTGATAATCAGCTTTCTGTCCCTCTTGCCTGCCCACTGGGAAAAGGCTACAGTCAGTCTATTAGTCTGCTTCTGCTGCGACCTGGACCTTTAGACCTCCATATTCCATCAGTGAAGATCATCCTGTAATGTGACATTTAAATGCTTTGCAAAAGCAGGAAGCAGTTCAAACGTTGACCTGTTTGAGACACATGTTTCAGTTTTCTTTGGTGAGAATTTATTTCAAGATGGGCACGGAACAATGCATCATTATAAAGTAAAAGACATTTTATGGTTTTCACATTTGTACACATGTGACATGTGGCATTCAACCCCTCAGAGTTAGTTCATTTGGCAAACAACTTGAAATGTTTATGGGTGATATTACATCTGTTTTGCTCACCTGGAGATTAAAATGTTTCCTTTGCAGAATATATCAAGCTCAGTCAGACTGACAAAGCAGACTTTGTAAGAATAATACTCCCATCCTGCCAAAGATACATTCTTGAATTAAGGCCTGAACTATTACTTGTATAGTTGACGCATGTTTAGGTTGGTTGCCCTCTGGTTTGATGAACCTTTAATCCAACCTCTGGTCTTTGTGATGAATCAAAATCATTATAAAAGACTCTGAAATTTGTAGTTTTATGTAGATAAAATTAAGTTTCAGCAGCTTCAAAGTTTTCAAAAGCCTTTTACCAAATAGTTCTCTAGCCATGGACATTCCTTGAGTAGGTTAGTAATACTAGGCACAGTTAATTATATATATTTATATTTTTTAAATATATATTTGAAACTAAATTAGGTCATAAATTAGGTCATATCTGTGCTTTAAACAGGTTTTGCTTTCTTCATCTTTGGAGAAAACACTGAATTTGAGCTCAAAATAGATGCTCATATTTGCTCTGACACATGTAGAACTACTTACCTATTAAATATCCAAATTGCTTTATAAAAAACTGTAAGATATTCCATTCTTCTCCTGTTTAGTCTGGACCCAACATGAATAAGAATAAACCTTCACTTAGATCAGCGGTTCTGCACCTGCTTCTTCAAGATCTTTAAATGCTTCGTGTCTGACAGCCTTTTGTCTGACTTTATCTAATTGCGAGGAAGAAATGTGCACCTAATTGTTTATGTGGTTGAATGTGTCACGCTCAGAGTTAACTTCACCTTCATGATTTTGGCAAGGGCAAAGTGGGGGAGAACTCACATATAACAGAGAAATTCAGTTTTAAAGGGCTGTTGTTTTGACATCTGCTTTGTCTTTTTGCAGTCGGTACAGATGACTCCTCATAGACTTAATTTTTTTCTCTCTTTTTGTCTTCCTACAAGGTTAAATCAGGTCTTTGAAAGTAACTTTGGCACAGAGAAATAGTTGGCAACAGAACTTTGCAATCAAAAGTCTAAATAACTATTCCTTAAAGTGGCCAGGGTTTATATAAATGTATATATAAGATCACAGAGCTGCCACTCATGTCATATGTATGAGTGGCCGCTCTATTCTTATGTCATTCTTCTCAACCCTAACATGTCAAAAGCCCCGCCCATTAGTACGATATCCTCCACCTCAGCAACACCTGGGTCATGATCTGGAAGCAGTTTACACTTTTCCATAATTGGAACCCTTGCTTGCTCAGGCCACATTCTCCTCCTCACTGGTGCATTCGCTGTCACCGAGGAGTCGGGCCAGTAGGGACCGACTATTTAATTAGGCTTGGTAACACACCAGTGCTTTGTGGTTAACCCACCAGACCTCTCTGCCTCCACATAGATTTATCCAACATCCTACCTCGCCACCACACACTTAGATCAAACTCTAGCCAATTAAAACCTAAGTTAACAAGGACCTTAATTGATTTGCTAATCTTATTTATTTCTTTTTGTAAAAAATACCTAAACATTTACTTTCTTTTCAGAAGTTTGGGACTTTAGCTGGACCAAAATACCTTGTGGGGTAATGCAAAGGAACATTTCTGTTCTCAGCCCCCTGCATTTACTGACAGTAGGTTAGGTACCACCAGCTGCTACCCCCATCCAAAAGGAATCTGAGATTTGCTATTTAATAGAAATTATGATTTTTTTAGGAATATTATTAACATAAAGGGCAATTTATAAAGTTTGTATAAAAAAAATTAGATGCATATTTCAAAAAAGGTTGCTAGTGCAGAAATGTTGGATCATTGGTGTTATTCAGTGGTCTATTGATTAAAGCTGTTGCTTTGTGGACAAGGTGTCACGGTAGATATTTCCAATAATTGTTTCCTTGTTAACATTGCACAAATATTTACAGAGAATATCATGTTTGTGTAAGCCTTGTTGGAAAAGCCTGACGGACTTAAGCTTATTGGAGAGAATTCGAAAAATCAATAAGCAACTAAGAAAATGAAACACATTTTATCTGCAGTTTTGTTAAAGCTAGTTTAATTGGTAAACAATTTCATGGCCAAAGGGTGATGTGACGTTGCAAGGTTTTGATCATTTTACCTGAAAGTCATTAGTAAAAAAATGTAAAAATTTAATTCTGCCTTTTTTTAAAGAAGCCAGTGCTTTGAGTGGTGGGTTTTCCCTTTGAGGTTTTTGGGAAGGCCATGAAACTATGAGGAGGGCTGCTTTGAGATATCTCAAGTCAGATTTCTTTGTGACTGTAGGGTGCAAAACCAGCTCAGAGCATGTACTTCAAACACAGACACACCGATTATTTTTTCCTTTTCATTGCTAGTGAAGTTTGCTCCGCCCTGAACCCCCCTCTTGTCTCTCATTGATTACAGTTTCTTTAAGATGCAGACATCCCCCCGGTGGGCTGAATTTATTAATAAATTTGGTTGTGATTGTATGCACCAAAGCCCCATCATGAGCTGATTTGTATACATACTAGCACATTAGTAGATGCGCCTAAAACAAGATAGACCTTTTAAATAATTAATGTTTCTATTAAGTACCAGGGTGCCTCCCACCATGGTCCATTAATATTGAAGAGATGTAAGCTCCCACTAACAGCAGTGGGAACAACATCAAATGAGGCTGGGGGTTAGACAGGCACATAAAGGGTGTCTGCTCAGTAGGCTTTGACCAGGGCGTCTTTGTGAGTTTAAGGCAGAGTGAAGAGGCTGCCCTGCCTCCCAGTGACAGGTTTTATAAATGTTGGTCTGTAGCCTTAGGAAACAAAACTGTCATCTTCAGATTTGTTTTTTTCTTTTTGCTTCCTCTTGTTTTTCCAGGCTTGTTTTTTAGTATTTTGCTCAGCAAAAAGCATAGAAGGCCTTTATCTAGATTTTTTTTTTCCTCGCCACTAAACACTTTGAAGTCACTAAAAGTGGTAAAAAATATCTCTAAAGCTTGCTGTTGGAGAGCCACAGCAAAGGTTAGCGTATTCTGCCTCATTTTCTCTCTTGCTGCCATAAGAAGCGATCTTTAATGGAACTGATGGTTTATGGGACATACCTGGGGGAAAAAAAAATTATCTGTCCAATAATCACCAACAAAAATAGTTGAAGGATGCTAAATGGAAACCTCTCGGTTTTATGAGATGGAATTAGGCAATTATGTAAAAAAGCAAATCATGCTAATTTTGAATGTGGTGGATGAGCTATGATAGTATGGGTCTGTTAATCTTACAAATGCTGCCACAATGTTGTTAGAATGCATGACATCCCAGAGATGCACCAATATCAGATATCGACACCGATATTGACTAATTAGCTGCATTGTATATCGGAACAATGATTTCATTCAAGCATTCTGATCCAGTCATCTCAATTTTTATCGCTATTATACATAGCAGTACAGTAGCAGCAATCTGGTGGCGTCAGTTTTATGATTGCAACACTGATTAAATCATAGTTCGCAGAATATACAGCAGCTGGTAATGATTTATAACTGTGTTGATTTGTTACCTTTTTAACAATGTTTATGTCAAGTGTGATGCCTTTACTCACACAGTACATTATATAGTTAATTTATTCAACAGCAATAATAAATTGGTATGGGATATCGGCCAACACAAAGCCCATGTATTGGTATTGTATTAGATTGGGGGAAAAATGGATTTTTGCATCTCTATTTTAAATTAACCAGAGCTTGAGTTACCGCCTTGATCCAGACTTTTTTGTGTAGTTGTAACTTAAGGCCAGTAAACTACATTCACCAGACCTACATTTTCAGGTGGTCCGCATCTAGAACGACTGTAGTGTAGTTTCATTCCGTTATGAAAACAAACTGGCCAAGGGACCTATCCACCATAATGGTAAACGAGTATCATTCCTTTTTTTTTTTTATGTCTGTTCCTTAGCCACTACCAGCAAGAGGTGGATCAAGGTCGCATTGTCTAGAACATCACAAAATCAAAAACTAAATGGCTCTAAATCTACATCATCCCACTAACAAAAGTTTTTGCAGCAGTAATAACAGAATAGATATGAAAAAAGAACTGTGTCCTGCCACAGTTATTTTTAGACCAATAGGAGCAACAATTGTTGCATGTCCAACTTTGCTGTGAAGTATCCTCCATTTGCAAAACAGACAGCCTGAATCAAAGCAGGACCAAATCAACAAAATAATCTACTTTTGGTCCGGACGAAAACAATCTGACCAAAAGCCTTTTCTGGTATTAATACACCCTAAATAAAAATCTAGTAGATTTAACCTGCAAACTAAAGATGAATCGGCATCAACTCTTCCCTCAGCGTAATGATACAGAACAAAGGACCAAGTTTCCAAAAGAGCAGTTGACTAGTCAGACATCTGTGTCTGTTTTCCTTAGACATTAATCATAGACAATCTAGAAGGATTGTTTATATGTAAATACCAGTCTCTGTTTGGTCCAACCTTGTGATTGTAATAGATAAAGAATTTCTGCTTAATATTTTCAACATGAAAAAATTGTCTTCATCGCACCATATAAAAGTACCCAAAGTAATGTTAAGATTTTTCTGAATTTTAAATTACCGGTACTTGTTATACAACTTTAACAGTGGTGCCAGTTAATGTGTCTGGGCCTGTATGTAGATCTTCTA